GTTTACAAACAAGACCACACTAAAGCTACCAGCACGACTATGTTTATTGCAGCCTTATTTACTATAGCTAAGAATGCAATTCTGTCTTCTGAAGCAATATGGAAGAAACTGGAAGGCATTGAACTAAGTGATATCTCAGCATAGAAAGACAAATACAGCATGTTCTCACTTACTTGTGGAAGTTAAAGTTTATAAAAATGAAATAAATTGGGCTGGGAAGTTGGCTCAGTGGTAGAGTGTTTGCTTTGCATGCATGAGGCCCTGCGTTCGATTCCTCAGCACCACATAAGAAAAAAAGCTGGAAGTGGCAATGTGTCTCAAGTGGTAGGGTGCTACCCTTAAGCTGAAGAGCTGAAGGACAGAGTACAGGCCAAGAGTTCAGGCTTCATGACTGGAAAAAATTGAAAGAAAGGAAGAATGAAAAAAGGAAGGAAGGGAGGGAGGGAGGGAGGGAGAGAGAGAGAGAGAAAAAGAAAGAAAGATAGAAAGCAAGCAAGCAAGCAAATAGTGGTTATCAGATCTTGGGAAGGGTGTAGGGAAGGAAGGGATGGAAAGAGGATGGTAATGGGTACAAGGATGCTGAAAAGGAGGAATAATTTCCAATGTTCTAAAGTACAATAGGGTAACTATGGCTGACTGCCAATGAGTTTTTCAAATTAGCCAGTACAAATGACTTTGAATGTTCTCAACACAAAGAAATGATATATATGTCAATTATCCTGACTTGATCATTATATCACACTGTATATGCATTTGTATATATGCATTAAAATGCCCCACTGTACCTTCTGAATATGTAAAATTACTGTATCAATTTAAAATATAAATAAAAAATGGACATGCTGGCACATGCCTTTAATTCCAACACTCAAGAAGGTAAGGTAAGAAGATTGTGAGTTTGAGGTTCAGCCTCCATTACATAGTCAATCTTTTCTCAAAAATGCAAAACAAATTTTAGATAGAAAAAATTTTAAACCGTTTGAATTCCAAGCTTCAAACTCAAGGTTCTGATATGAATAACCTTTCCATATTAAACAAAGAAAAAAGAGGAAGAAATCCTGGAATATCCTTCAACGCTTTGCTAACACATTCTTCTCTTTGATGCTTCTGTTGTGTCCTTAATGTAGCCACCCATCCCTATGATATTACACTGCATATCTAACATGGTGTATGTGGAACTGTACAGTACTTGTGCCTTCTTAAATCCCTAAGGTGGGCCTATCTCTGACTTCAAAATAAAGCAGAAAGGATATGGGATTAAATAACTTCTTTTAAAACTTAGTATTTCTATCCACTCATAAATATGGCTTGAATATTAACAATCCCTCTGAGTTTTAACTCAGTTCTCTCTTTATTTCTTTTGTTTTTTGAAAGACAGGAGATCATTATGTGGCCCAGAACTGGCCCTGAAATTCTCCCATGTGCTAGACTCACAGATACTGGGCTTAACTCAGTCTTTACCTCGTCCTAGAGCAATAGAAATACTAATGCAATTTCAGCATGAATAGCACAAACCAACTCCTCAACTCCAAAAACTTTCAGGTCTCAACTTGCTTCTGGGAGGAAGCTGTCTGGCCAGTCTCAGGGAAAATCACACAACAAATTCTCACAGCGGTGCTGTGACAGTTCTCTCCATCTCACTGGGACATATGCATATTTCTTATTAGATATTTAACAGCTTGAAGGCAGAGACCTGTTTTACAGGTTGCACACTTCATCCAAAGATAGGATGCCTTACCAGGTGTGTAACTATTAATAGCACAGATGAAAGGTTTGATACACATCCTTCTATTTAATGCTTTCAGCAGCCCCGACAGGTACTGTTGTTGCTACTGTAACAACCTCAGTAGTTATATAAAAGCCAATTTTAAAAAGATGCTTTTGTGGGGCCCAGTAAATTAACTTTGGATCTGTGCCCTTTGATCTGAACTATTATTCTCCACTGCAGTCCCTTTGCAATCATGACTTTTTTCCAGGAGAAAAGATTCAGGTACCCATCTTGTGTGGAATGCACACTGCCCCTCAAACAAGCCATTGCCTTCTTATATTTATCTTAAAACAGACAAAACCTCAGAAAACCACTTTGTTCCTGTTCTGTCTCCGTAATAAAGTAATAACTTCTTCAGGGCTGTTCCGGACAAAGACTAAGCTAATGGTCAGCCAGGCCATCCCTTCAACTTGGGACTGTTTAAAGTACGCCTATCTTTCTCATCCCTTGCCCTCAAGTCTATGTAACCTGAAGCCAATGTCTGTACCTACCCCCGCCCCCAGAAGACGGGGGAAGATGTTAAGTTGGTATGTGATTGATCTTTGCCTGCCCTTCACCATGTCTGTTTATTTGGCATATGGGGCGAGTGTTCCCACCTATAAACCCAACTTCGATTACAGATGATGCGCGAGGGATGAAGCTGAGAAAGCTTCGGTCGCCTGCCTGGCCCCACGGGTAGCAAGCAGCCCGGGGGGTTGGGGGGGGATGGAGGGTCCCCGCCCGCCCGTCCGCGGGCGGAGCCGCCGGGCCCTGTCCACAGGCTGGGCGCTGCGCGGCTTTCGGCGTGTGTACCCGAAGGCGCCGTCGAGCGGGCTCCGGGTCGTCACCGGGCCAGCCAAGGCCTCGGGGAGCCCGCGGCTGAGTTCCCACGAGGCGTGCCGAGAACCGGCCAGCCCCTGTGAACCAGGAGCGACCTCCTTCCGTCCCAGCCGAACTCCGAAGCCGGACCCCCGCGGGAAGCGCAGCCCGCCCGCGTGGGGGACTCCGGAGGCCGGAGGGAGACCGGCCGGGTCAGACCGACACGACGCCCACCCAGCGACGGGAAATCACGGCGGGATCGACGTACCTCGGACAGAAAGGAGCGGAGATGCTCGGCTCCACCCCGGTGGCGGGAGATGCGGAATGACTTGTGGGGCACCCCGTGAGGAAGAAGCCCGGGCTGCCTAGAGTGTGACACCGCGCGTCGCCCCGCCCCTTCCTGTAGTCACCCGGAACCACTTCCTGTGGCGGCTTCCCCGGCCGGCTCCTGGCTCGAGCGGCCCCGGGCCCATTCCTGAGCTTCTCCCTGCCAGGCCCACCGCGGTCGGCTCTTGTCTGTCTCCACTGCCGAGCAGAGGCTTGGCTTGGGCCGCTGTGGTTGACATGTGCTGTGAGAATTGGAGCCGCGTGGCCGAGATGCTTCTGTTCATTGAAGGCCGGGAAGAGGACTGTCGGGTCCTCTGCCTGTGCTCCCGGGCGTTCGTGAAGTGAGTAGGCCGCGTTTCCCCTCCTCGCGCGTTCGAGGCCGGCCGGAACGCCGGTGTGCTCGACGTCGTGGAGGTGTAGCCCGAGTGCCTGGGGGCTGCGGAGCGGGGGAATGCCTCTAACGCCCGACCCCTCGGGGGTCACGGAATGGCCGCCCCCCTCTGCTGCTATTGCTATTAGGGAGAGACTACGATTTTGAAGGGGTTTTGTGATGCGAAAATGTGGCAATTCGTAGATATCATTTAGTGTTTACAATGAGGGCATTGAAAAATGGAGGGAGGGTGGATGAAAGGTATGATGTCTTATAGATGTGACATCATAAGGTCAGAGTTTGAACTTTGGAAAACATCTGTTCAAGACTTTTTCGGACCTTACATCCCTTTTCAAACCAAATCTACTCAAGCCCAAATACACACTATTACGACTTAAAATTATTTGGTATAAAAGGCCTAATGATTTTTTAATCTCCATTTTTTAGATCTGTATTTTAAGAAAACTTTTTTGGTAAAAAATTGTCTGGCATAGATAATAAATACTTAATGGGGGTGAGGGAGAGTAAGAAGAAAGTTGGAATTTAGATTTTTTTTTAAATCGGGTAAATTAGCCACTTAACTCATTCCTTTCCCTCTAAATCGTGTGTATTTAATCTCACATGCTTCACATTCATATCTTCGTGGAAGTGAATTGTATGTAATAAACTTTAAGTGTAGCTTAATGTGGTACAATTTTAAATTTGAAGGACTTTTTTCATTACATGTTTTTGTGGAGTAATCTGAAAATCCAAAAAGAAATAAAATACTGTAAAGTTTAATGTAAAAAGAAATTGTCTCAGCCAAGGGCAGTGACATAGGCCTACATTCACAGCCATTGGGGATGCCAAGCAAAAAGATCCTGGGTTCTAGTCTTATCTTCCCTCCAAAGCTAAGAGAAAACATCTCCAAGCAAAATGCAAAGGGATGGGCTGGAAGCTAAAGTGGTGTGAGATCCTGGTTCAATCCCCAATATGCATTAAATCCTCAGTCTTAAATAAGTATTCATTTAATCTGTGGGTGCTTTTCATGCTCCTGTGTTTCTGGTATGCTTGTAAGGCCTGGGATAATGCAGAGATTCTGTCCCTAAATGTGTTGTGTTTATTATCTAGCTCTAGAAATAGATCGCTCATTAAAATATCTGGTTAGGGAATTACAGTGGTTAATCACAGTTGTCATAGTTATGAAGAAGAATAACGTGATGCTTCGAGAGTAACCTGAGCTTTCTCCAAGCATCACAGATGTCTTCAGAAAGCAGCCTTTGGAATGGGGCCAAAGGAAATAAACTGAGGTACATTTGAGTAGATGCAAGCATTCCACAGGCTAGATACTGTAAAATAGCTTTAAAGAGCAAAGGAGCCTGTGAAATGAAACAATGCCTAGGAAGAAAAAAAATCAGAGACAAGATTTTTAAGCAATGATAACATGTAGAACTTGCAAGATATTGTAAGAAAACTACATGCATCCCAGATTATTTTGGGGTTCAATGTTAATGATGATATGAAAGTCATATATATTGGATAGATATACAGCACCCAGCTGTTGTAAGATTGGATTGTGATAGATGGGCAGTAGAAGCAGAAAAGGTGGAAAAAGAGATTTAGGGGTTGTGAATTGATTTGCAGTTGGGGGAGTGAAGGAAAGTCAAAGCATAGTTATGAAGGAGATTAGGTGAAAAGTAACTCCTTGGTTAAGTTTTATTTTTAGAACAGTGGTGAGGATCATAGGATTAATTTTTTTTACATTTTGATTTTGAGAGTCAATGAATTATATTAAGAATAGATGGTACAAGTAGTTGGTTGTATTGCTTTGGAGCTGTAGAGAAATTTAAGCTGATCTTTGAAACTTGAGTCATTCACATGTAGATAGTAATTGAAACCATTCATTGGAAAGGCAAGAGTCCATCTTTGAGGAATTATGTGGGAAGACTGAGTTTGAGGCTAGCCTAGGCAACAGAGGAAGAACTTTAAAAAATAAAAAATAACCCAACATTAAGTGTTCTACATTTTTACTGACAAGTGATAGCATCACCAAATTTTATAGGCTCTTTTGATCCCACTTTGAATTTAGGTCTCATTTTCAGCTTTCCTGGTCCAGTTTTTGCAATAATCCTCATAAGAATTGCTGCTGAAGCCAGGCACTGGTGGCTCATGCCTGTAATCTTAGCTACTTAGGAGGCTGAGGTCTGAAGATAACAGTTCAAAGCCAGCCCAGGCAGGAAAGTCTGTGAGACTCTAACTCCAGTTAGCCACCAGAAAACCAGAAGTAGAGCTGTGGCTTAAAGTGTTAGAACTATAGTCTTGATGGCCTGAGTTCAAGCCCCACAGCCAACCAAAAAGAATTTGAAGAGGAAAAAGGGGGAGAATACAGTCAGGAATTCATTACATAACCTACAGAGAAAAGTGAGGGAATGAAAGGGATTTGAGGGATGGGTGAGAATATTGAAAGGGATGACATTGATCAAGATGCGTTATAGTCAGAAACTGCTTTGTTTAATGGCATCTCCTTTGTACACTACTTCAAGATAATAATAATGGGCCTGGCGCCAGTGGCTCACGCCTGTAATCCTATCTAGCCTGTAATCCTATCTACTCAGGAGGCTGAGATCTGAGAATTGCAGTTCAAAGCCAGCCCGGGCAGGAAAGACCATGAGACTCTTATCTCCAATAAACCACTCAGAAAACCGGAAGTGGTACTATGGCTCAAGGGGTAGAGTGCTAGCCTTGAGCTGAAGAGCTGAGGAACAGCGCCCAGACCCAGAGTTCAAGCCCCACGACCAACAAAAAAAAAAGATAATAATAATGCAATTTTTTTAAAACTTCATTGTTTTTTCCAGATAACCTTTGTTCAGACCAGGAATTGTCTAGTAGAGAAGGGATAGTTCAGTCTGCAAATAAAACTAGTCTTACATGTAAGCTAAATCTTTACGTTATGTTACACTCAACTCAATAGGAAAATTTTACATATCATAAAGCAAAATGTTTATATGTCATAAAGAAGATCAGATTCTTTCCTCAGTAGTAGCTATAATTGTAAATGCTACTCTGTATCAGAAAACGTTACTGTTTTACATATACTATCAGTTTTTGACTCCATGGGAAATACATTACATCTGTGTTATATGGGAGGAAAATGTATTGGCAAATTATTTTTCTATTCCTTAACTTTTTTATTTGTTAAATCTGTGTTGCCTTCAACTTCTTTCTCAGTTTTCACTTACTTCAATATGGCTCTTTAATTTTCTTCACAGGGATCGAAAATTGTGCAAATTGGGATTGAAAGGCTACTATGTCAAAGGCAATGACAATAATACAGGTAATATAACACTATATAGGTAGAAAACACTATTAATTTATGTATAACTTATCACAATGTTATATTAACTAGCATAAAATATAAGTAGCAAGTAATCTTGTAATCATAGACACTCCTTTGTATTCTATATGAACATAAATATGTATAAACATGTTTCTAAAATCTCATCCAATCTCATGTTTTATTTCTACATAGCTACTATATGGACTTGATGTAGACTCTCTTGTCCTGTGTAGCCTCCATCCTGAGGTGTCAAATTAGTAAAAAATAATAATATAAAATAAAAAATCCCATCAGCTCTCAAGATGGAGCATATCACTAATGCTTCAGTCATACATTGGATGAAACATTCGGTTGGATTTGTGCACTGCTACAAGTAAGGTTTCTGTAAACACTGGGCTTCTGAGCAACGGAAAATAGGTGTATGCCAAACTTAACTCCTGCTCTTCTGGGCTACATGTAGTTCATTGAATGATGAGTGGAATCACCTTTGTTTATAGATAGTGCAGGTTCCCCTCTTTGCCAGTCTTTCACTTTGTTGTGTAAGATTCCCTTCCTGTTGTGTGAGATCATGAACCTAAAGGGCATCTCAACTTAGAGTGTACAAAGTGTGTGAAGTGATTTTTATTACCTCACAGTTTAGATAGTTAATAGAGCACTTAAATGGTGTTTTTCTAGATAGTTGTATGATATATCTAGTTTAAAACAAGATAAATTTTATTATAACGATTGCTTTTCTGTAAGGTCTAGAATCAAGGAGCTTCAACAGATTACAGTTTTGTAGATTTCAAACTTTTAATAGCAGGACCTTTCATTAATCAACTCTTCTACAGAATATAGGGACCTAAATTCCTGTTGTGTTGAAGGATTTGTGAAGGGGCTTGAAGAGGTACCTCTCATCTCTCTGGTTAACAGGTTCTAACATAATTCCACCAGTCATGATTTACAATCCCCTGATTTTGTCGGTGGTGTTCTGTATAGGCCTGGAACATATAAGTACTCCCCCGTTATATTGCCTCCCTAAGTAAGATATCCTCCCTAAGTAAGACATTGACATTTGTAGACAGTGACAGACAAAATGTTGTTGGCTGGTTTTTAATGTTTGTTCATATCACATTTCCTAAAAAAAAAATTTTTCACATGTTTTTGTCAGGTCATGTAATCATTCTAGATCTCAGGTTGTTTGTTATAATGGGGATGAGAAAACTTGTCACTAAAATATTCACTATAATGAAACTAATGAGTGTTGGATGTAGGAGACCAAACTACAGAAGAGGAGGAAGATGATCATTCCCATAACACTATGAAATCATGCAACAATGAAGACATAGGTCCAGATGAAAGTGAACTTGATTCTGAGGCCGAACTCATGAGAAGTATGGGATTGCCACTTCAGTTTGGTGGAGTATCTGCACATAAGAATTTTGAGGTAAATATTAATGTACTTATTTCTATTTCTTGGTTTCCTTCCTAAAGTATTATAAGGAATGTTTTATCCAAAAAGTAAATACATTCACTTTGCTATTTTCAAGTGTACAGATTTATAAGTTAACTAAGATTAAAAGCTGAGATATATCTCATTTTGACTTTTCCTCCTTAGAGGAAGGATCATGTTTTTATGATTGGGTTTAGTTTAATACCAAACTAGACTTAGATTCTACTTTCTTTTCTAGCTTATGAAGTAAATTTTACATTCACTTCTCATTTGTCTGATGTAGGTGTCTATGAATAGTAGAAATAAGGTTAAAGTAAAAAAGAAAAAGCAAAAACATCAAAAGAGGTACTTGGATCAAATTATGCAAGAATCTTGGAGAGAAAACTGTGAAAGTGATCTTTTAGTCTCAGATGATCCATCTTCAGTTGAACAGTTTGAGGACACCATAACATGTGAATCTCAAAGCAAAAAAGACATTGCACCTGAAAATCTTGTTGAAAAGACATCTCCAAAACTAGAGGTTACAGAAAAATGGGAAAAGTATTGGAATGAATATGGAGGAGGACTGTTATGGCAAGGCTGGCAAGAAAAACATCCAGATCAGACACTCTCTTCTGAACCTTGGAATTTTCCTGACACAAAGGAGGAATGGGAGCAACATTACAGTCAGCTTTATTGGTATTATTTGGAACAATTTCAATATTGGGAAGCTCAGGGTTGGACTTTTGATGCCTCACCAAGCTATGATACAGATACTTGTGTGTCTCAAACAGAAGTAGGAAAGAATGATGACAATCACATGAAAATGGACTTGATAACTTCATCTTCACCTAACATGATTGATAAAGAAAGCTCAAGTGATAAAGATCACAATGAAATACTTGATGGCATAAGTAATATAACTTTGAGTTCAGAGGATATAGACCAGAGGCAGTTAGGAACCTCTGTAAGGTGTGGTGGACAGCTGAATGAAGTTAGCAGCAGGAGAGAATGCCCTGCTTCTGGCCAGAGTGAACCATGTAACGGAGCAAGCAAGGAAAGCAACTCATCTGGGAATAGCAGCCCAGACCAACCAGTTCCAGGTAAGATTAGCAAGGTTTATTCTGCCAAGTTATAGTTCACACAGTGAATCTACTTAGCACAATAATTTCCACTTATCCTTTCGGGTAGAGTTAAATACCAACTATGCTTCATAGTATAGTAATGAAAGTTTTGGATCTTGTTTTTATATTTATATTTTGCATTAGTATAAATACCTACATACGGTCCTCAAAATGTTATTCCTTACTCTGTGTCTAGGTGGCCAGCGAGGAAAAATTCTTAAGAAATCTAATTTAAAATGAGCTTAGACCTTTCAGTTTTCCAGATCAAATGAGTTAGAGAGTGGTTAAGAGCAAGCATTTGACATTAGGCAAATGTGAGTCATATTTGGAATTCATTTAGGATCAGTGAAGTCTTACTTTCTAGAGAATATCAATAAGATATCATTCAAGTTTGTAACAAAAGATTGATTTCAGGATTCTTATCAATAAAATATCTAATACTGAATTTGAGACTCTTGAATAAGATTTAAAAATAAAATCCTTATTGTACAAACTGCTACCATTGTCTGTTAAAACTAAAACTAAAGAAAGCTAATGAAATACATTCAGAGTAAGGTGAAGATACTCTTTTTAAAAAAAAAAAAAAAAAGTAATGAGTACATATCTTATCAAGCATTGTTGCCTCCTCCTTTGTTTCCCCTTCTCATCTCCCCTCCCCTCCTGCTGCCCCCCCCCAAGATACTGTTAACAAAAAGAAGTCTCTAAACATCACATCAGAAAATTGGAGAGGAGGAAATAGTTTTTAGTTGTGTTATTCTTACTGTTTGGTGCTAGAGACATCTGGTAAAGACTGATTTTGTTCTCAGCTTTATTCCAGTGTGAACCAAATCTTTTTTTAAGTGGTTATACAAAGGAGTTTTAATTTAGCATGTCAGTTTGTGAATATAGTACATCTTGATCAAAGTCACCGTTTATCATTCTCCTCCATTTCTCCAAACTCCAACTCAATTTTTCTAGTTCCATTTTTCACATATATAAAATTAAGTATTGTGACTTATTCTTTCACTCTTCCACTCTTCATTAATCTACCACCCTCCCTTTGACATCACTTCACCTCAAGTTCTATCTTCCTGGAATTTATTTTGTTAGGACTACAGGTTAGTTATTCAAAGGAGTTACACCACTAGAATTGTTCCCCTCATATACCATACTTAATACATTTGTGGATATGCATGTCACCTGTATATGTTTAGATATATGCAAATTTGGGCTGGGAAGGTGGTTCAGTGATAGAGTGCTTGCCTTGCAGGCATGAGGCCCTGGGTTGGATTCCTCAGCACCACATAAGCAGAAAAAGCCAGAAATGGTGCCATAGTTCAAGTGGTAGAGCAGTAGCCTTGAGCTGAAGAGCTGAGGGACAGCGCCCAGGCCCAGAGTTCAGGCCTCACAACCAAAAAAAAAAAAAAAAATTAGATCTAACTACTATATATGAGAGAAAACATATGTCCTTTGTTTCTCTGGGCTTAATTAACATAATTTTTTCCAGGTTCATCCATTTCTCTCCAAATGATGTAATAACGTTCTTCCTAATGGATGAGTAAAACTATATATACATACATATACATATATACACACACATACATGTATATATGTATATGTACACTCAGATAGATAGCATGTACATAGAGAGAGACACTTTTCTCTTTTTTTTTTCTGCCAGTCCTGTGGCTTGAACTCTGGACCTGGGCACTGTCCCTGAGCTTCTTTTGCTCAAGGCTAGCACTCTACCACTTCGGCCACAGCACCAGTTCCAGCTTTTTCTGTGTATGTGATACTGAGAAATGGAACCCAGTACATGCAAGCAAAGCACTCTACCACTAAGCCACATTCCCAGCCCTACATAGACATTTTTCTTTTTGCCCACTAAAAGGCATTTCCATTTGCCCATTAAAGGACATCTGGGCTGTTTTCATAACTTGGCTATGGTGAGAAAATAGTGCAGCAATGAATATGATTGTGCAAGTAGTTATCCTGACTTGTAATCTTTTGGATAAATACCCAAGAATGGTATCACTTGATCACAAGGTAGTTCTGTGTTCAGTTTTTTGAAGATTCTTTAAACTGTGAAGAAATGTTTTGACCTTTCACTTAACAAATGGATTTACCCTGCTCATCTTAGGTTGCTGATCTTTCTAGCTGAAAGTTTTCAAGCTCTGTCATCTTCTCTTTTTGCTGAACTGTTAAAAAGAACCTTGCATTATATAGCATTTTCGTTGTTTTCTGTCAGTGGTTTCATCCTTTTCTATCTAGTGATTTTATTTTAGTCTTCTGATACTCTTCTTTGCACTCCCTATATATTCCTTATTTAATTTGGGCACTAAAGTTACAATGGACATACTGATGAGTATACTGGAAGAGAATCAGAAATTAACATGAGGTAGTAACACAGGGGCCAGTATACTGGCCATTATGTTCATTGTGATGCTCAAAACTAAAGGTAGCAAGTGCCCTGGCTGTTTCCATAAGAACTGTACTAAAGACATACTGGCTTTGTAATGGAGGGAAGTTATTTGTAATCATGTGTCTTTATTGTAATCATATGTCTTTAGAATTACATAGATTAAAGTTCCTTAAGAATATGATTACATGGGATTGGAGGCTTATGGCTCAGTTGGTAGAGTGTTAGCCAATGAATGAAAGCATCAAGTACCAAGTGTAAGTCCCAATCTTGGATTTGAAAGAAAAGAAAGTGATTACAAGAATGGAGAGGGGAAGTGTAAGCAAATGCAGTCATTATACTCAATTTATGTAACCTAGAGTAGAAATGGAAGGGGGGAAATGGGAGAGAATGATGGAAGGGGTGACTCTGACCAAGAAGCATTGTACTCATGGAATTGTAACCTCCTCATACAACTACTTAATAAATAAGAATCTATAATCTCAGCACTCAGGCTGAGGCAAGAGGATTGTTCAAGACCATATAGATAGAGCTACAGTTCTTATGTTATACTCAGACTGCAACTAGACATACAAGTAGCTAGAACATGATATTTTCTGGTGTACTACACAGTTCATTGCAGGAAAGGCACAGAAATATTTTGATTGCCTTTGCAATTGGCAGAAAAGTTGTCAAACCAAGGAGGAAATCCACTGTACTACCTTTGCCCCTTCAGAGCCACAGGAGTCTTTGGGGGCAAATACATGCAAAGACAGACCACACACCAATGGGACTGATGGAGATGAGAGTGAGGAAGATCCACCTGAGCATAAGCCCAGCAAACTTAAGAGGAGGTAAGTTGCTGGTTTCCTCTATACGCGAAATAAATGAGTGTGAGCATTGTGTCCATGAGTGAAGGACCATTCCTTGCTTCATTCAACATATAACAATAGCGGGATATCTGGTGTCTGGTAACACTGAACTTTTGGACTCGAGTCATTTCCCAACTCTGATGCTCACATGCTCTATTTTTCTTAATTTCTCATCTGTAAAATTGGACTGATCATTTGGTGGACTTAAGTTGGCATGTGATATGTGTCAGGTGCTATGAGTGGATGATAACTTATAACTAATAAGTATCCCATTTCTCCCTCCAGTTCTTTTTTTTTTTTTCCTCAAAATCTGGGTATATGTTATTCTAGATTTTTAGTGCTGACATAGCACTGATTCTAATGCTTTCATTGAATGGATAGGAATACTGATACAAGTTAAACTGTAACAGTGGGTAACCTAAAACTAGAGAGCAATCTAACTCTACTGTAACCAGTGTTCCATTTATCACCTATAGATATAATTAGACAACAGAATAATGAAGTTATAATGTAAAGTAGGATATAGTCAGATGCTGATACTGTAGATAACAAAGATTGGATCATTACAGAATTTCAACATTAGAGAAATTTCATTAGTAGGATGGGAGGAGCTCCATGTCTTTGCTCTCTATATAGCCACTAGAAAAACAAACAGTAAGCAAGCTCTGGAGGCTTTAGTTAGTTAGTACAGAGAAGCATGCCTCTTCAATATTATTCCTTCTTTGTGGTAGACCCATTTCATTTCTGCAAGTTCCTAGAGAGAGTTCGTGTACTTAACATTTCTGGAACCAAGAAGATACTGAAAACATTTAGTGACCTTAACTGAATTGGAAAAACTAACTTTGTGAAAAATATTTTTTTCCATGTTTGTTTACTTGTTTACAGGTAGACAGGATTTGTAAAATGTATCTAATAGTTGGACTCTCCTGGTCTACCTATTTGTATTACAACTTATTTTTCTTAACATTTTTTTAAATTTTTTTGATCAACTGTTAAATGTTTCTTTGTTTTCGAGAGAACCTCTAGAGAAATCACTCTAGGAGATTAATTTTAGGCTACAGCTTTTATTGGTGTTTTTCCAAAGTAAAATGGAAAAATCAGTATTGGTATCATGTTCAGAAGAAGGTAATTAACTGAAGTGTGTTGAACATCAGAGCGCTTATTACTATGTTCCAAACTCTTCTGAGTACTTTAAATCATTTGGGAAAATCCTGATTGAAGTAATATTTCTCCTGGCTTCCAGGATCTGCTAGCTGTTGTTGACTATTGATACTTGATTGAATGAGTGGACTGGAGGTAATGGCTTATTGTTGTTTACCCTTTCTTTGTTTAGCCATGAACTGGACATCGATGAAAACCCAGATTCAGACCTTGATGACAGTGGTTCCCTCCTAGGATTCAAACATGGCTCAGGACAAAAGTAATTATCGATAAAAGTTATTATCCACTAAAAAGCCTAATGACTTAAGTTGGGCTTTCTGAGTTTAAAGCTGTCCTTAAACTCACTGGTATTTGTGTAGATAATAATTCTTTTTTTGAAAGTGTTTGATACATTACAATTAAATAAGTGCAAACTTGTTAGTAAGCATTATAATAGAGATATCAAATAAATTTCATGTATCACTGTATTACTAACTTGCACTTCTAGCAGTTTGGTGTTACTCTGTTTCACAGATAAAGCAATTGCATCTCACAGAGGTTTTCACTTAATGGAAATTATATCATTCCTTAGGAAGGAGATTTAAGCCCAGCCATAAACATAGTTTTCACCTAGCATGTAACCTATTTACTCCTGTGTACAAATAAAGAACATGACAGATACACCATGAACTGTTCAAATGTGCAATAACCATTTTGCTTTTTTCATTACAAAAATAATAAAACTGAAACACTGAAGAAGTAGAAAGTGAAAATCTTGTTCTTAAATCACTCTTAAAGGTAGACCGTGTTTAAAGAGTTTGGCATATATCCTTCCAGATTTACTTGTCTGTTTTAAAACCTAGTACTGAAAGAAAAAAATGGGGTCATATTAAGCATATTCTAGCTTTTTGTTCATGTGTTGCTAGTGTTTGAAGGGCCTTGATCTTTAGCTGGTTTGCTAGACAGGTGCTCTGCCACTTGAGCCACACCTACAACCTTGCTTTTTTGCTATATTTTTTGGAGATGACTTCTGCCTTGGCTGGCTTTGACCTGCTGTTCTCATCTCAGCCTCCTGATAAGCTAGTATTAAAGGCATGAGCCATCAGTGCCTAGCTTATAGCTGTAGCAATATATCCTGAATACCTTGTATATACATTTATGTAATCCTTTTATGGGGGCTTTATGTTTAATTGACTATCCTAACAACATTATTACCTAACAGCTAAGTATATTGCCCTCCAGCTTACTGTTTATCAGTGGTTCTTCTTAGTGCTGAAGAGTGTTCATTGTGTGAATGCATCAAAATGTGTTCACAAAAGGCACTTTGCTATTGCAAATAAAGCCATTCTGAAATTTGAGTATACAAATCTAAGTGTTCTCTGGGATTAAGTGACCAGACCTTGGTTATAAGAAGGAAAGTATGAATAAGTAGATGATTGCACAAGAATAATGGGAAATTTCTTCTATTAAAGGAAGACTAAACTAAGTAGATAAGTCATATTAAATAAAGTACTATTTATGTAACCTTACATTCATTCTTTTAGTTTTATGTTTCTAGATATTGAGACTTCATGTCCAATTTTACCTATTTTAGGAATTTTCAATATATACCTATACATTCTGAAGTCAGAAAGAAAAGACCATGAAGAATTTCTCAAAAATTGACATCAAAATTGATACCATGTTAGTTTAAAAGATATGCTGATAGTTTTATACCATAAAAATTTCTGAAGTTAACTCCTGATACTTCCAGAGAGTCCCCATTTGCATAATTGTTTAAAGCTAAATACCATACAGGTAGTGCCAAAGATTTTAAAATCTCTGGCATGGTCAGGTACAGTTGTTTGAGCCTATAAATCCTAGCTATTCAGGAAGCTAAAATCTGAGGATCATGGAACAAAGCCAACCCAGGCAGGAAAGTTCATAAAACTCTTTGGTGGTTTATCTCTAATTAACCACCAAAAAAAAGCCAGAAGCCAGCTGTGGCTCAAGTGGTAGAACTAGCCTTAAACAATTAACCTCAGGGACAGTGTCCAGGTCTTCAGTTCAAGCCTCCATACCATCACACACACAAAATTCTTGGCAGTATTTATTGCCATGCACTTAGGATAGCATTTGACAAACTATTGTATAGTTCTTCATAGTATGCATTTGTAGAAATCTATTTTGTTACTTGGAATTTACCTTAAAAGAGAAGGATAAACCTGGCACCGGTGGCTCACGCCTGTAATCCTAGCTATTCAGGAGGCTGAGATCTGAGGATCACAGTTTAAAGCCAGCCCAGGCAAGAAAGTCCATGAGACTCTTATCTCCAATTAATCACCAGAAAACCAGAAGTGGCACTGTGGCCCAAGTGGTAGTACACTCACCTTGAGCTAAAAAGCTGAGGAGCAGCACCCAGGCCCAGAGTTCAAGCTCCACGACCAACAAAATAGAGAGAGAAGGATAAGACTGATTTTTAATATAAAGAACTTCCTGAGCAATACATCTTTTTTAGAGTTGGAAAAATTCCAATAGTTAACATCAAATACCCTGTAATTATTTTGGTAGTAGAAGTTTTTGGGGGGTTGTGTTTTGTTTTTGGTCAGTCCTGGGGCTTGAACTCTGGGCCTGGGCACTGTCCCTGAGCTTCTTGCTCAAGGCTAGCACTCTACCACTTGAGCTACAGCACCACATCTCGTTTTTTTTGTTTGTTTGTTTTACAAACTCAGATTGCTCTAGGTTAAGAATTTAATGACTACTTGGAGTGTAATTTGAATACGTTCAAGTATGTGTTAAGAACTTTGTCATCACCCCGCTTTTGGGATAATTTTCCCTAACAAAGGAATATAGTTTTTTGCTATTGTGATGTGCCGTATGTATTCAAATTCCTGTTGTACATACATTAGGAATGCCGTATACTGGGCATAGTATTGCCTATCTGTAGTTCCAACAATGGGGAGGCTAAGCCAGTAGGATCAAGAATTAGAGGCAAGAGGGGCTGGGAAGGTGGCTCAGTGGTAGAGTGCTTGCCTTATACGCATGAGGCCCTGGGTTTGATTCCTCAGTACCACATAAGCAGAAAAAAAGTGGCGCTGTGGCTCAAGTGGTAGAGCGCTAGTCTTGAGCTGTAGAGCTGAGAGACAGCACCCAGGCCCAGAGTTCGGCCCCATGACCAACAAAAAAAAGAATTAGAGGCAAGACTCAGCTACATCAACAAAGGAAAATTAACAAAAGCTATAAGAACACTTCTGTAATTTATACTTGATTTCATTTTCTTTTTTTTCTTTTTTTGTCAGTCATGATGCTTGAACTCTGGGCCTAGATATTGTCCCTGAGCCCTTCAGCTCAAGGCTAGCACTCTACCATCTACCACCTGAGCCACAGCACCTCTTCTGGTTTTCTGGTAGTTAATTGGAGATAAGAGTCTCATGGACTTTCCTGCCCAGGCTGGCTTTGAACCCCAGTCCTCAGATCTCAGCCTCCTCCTGAATAGCTAGGATTACAGGCGTGAGCCACTGGCTCCCAGCGATTTCTTCATTTTCATAATTTAATAAAATTGAAGTGGGGGATACTAATAACAAACTAGTGGAAATTGTTCATTTTTCTCTTTTCCTTTAAAGAAGCATTCTCCTAGAACTTAAAGTGTTAGGTCCATTCTTTTGATCTGTTCACAGATACGGTGAAATTCCTAACTTCAGTCATCGGCGGGTCAGGTATCTAGAGAAGAATATGAAACACACATCAAAGTACCTGGACATGCGCAGACAAATAAAGATGAAAAACAAACATATCTTCTTTACTGAAGAATCAGAAAAACCATTTTTTAAGAAAAGCAAAACTCTGAGTAAGGTATGTATACGTTTTGTTTTATACTTAGAAGGAATTGCATTTTGTAAACTTTACTCCTTAAAATCATTGTATTCAAATGGCCAGCCTGTTTTTGTATGGAGGGTCCTAAGATTCTTCCCAGCCTACTTCCTCAATTTGTATGTGTGTAAACTAGACCTGACAGAAAGGAAGTGACATGATACAGAAAGGGTGTGATAGAAAGCTAGCATGTGGTAGTGTTTAAGAAGATAAATAAGTCAAATGGTGCTGTCTGTGCCATAACAGACAAGGTCAAGGGGAATTTCTGATCTGTTTCACATAAGTCATGCAGTCCATATTCTGATATAGCATATGCCATCAGCCTTAATTCTGAGCTCCTCCACAGGTAGTTAGTGGATTATACTTTGAAATAACAAGCTTACCTTTACCTCTATAGTGTGAAATATAAACCCAGTTTTGTGATTCACATTGTAATTTGAGAAAGTCACATATCCTGTTTTCCACTTTGTTATACCTGCCATTCAAGCACCTGGGAAGCAAACATAGAGGATTGCTTGGTTTGATGAGCTGTCTTTTACCTTCTAAGAAACAGGCTTTGTGCCATTGCCTGAAGCTGGTTACAGTACAACCTAATCTCAAAGTCTCCAGCTTACCCTCAGGTTTCAGTATCTTTCCTAACCCCAGCATATTTGGAAAGCATGCTACAAGTTTATAGCTGGTCTCATTTTTATTATATTTCAGATTGATTGGATGTTGGTGATATTTAATGAATGTTTTAGTGGCCCTGGCTGTATCTGAAGCAGGCTCACTAGTGTTAGTCCTGTAGGACTTTTCTGAGTCAGTAGTAAGTAGAAAGGTTCTAAGTGTTAATTTACTGACTTATGACAAAGTTGTAAAGACTTGCTATGAAGAATTTTCGTACTACAGAGGATTTAAGTATATATCCTGACCTGGGCCTTGATACCATTTCAACAAACAAACCTACTTCATTGGGACTTAATCTTACTGGCACTGCTGCGTCATTAAAAGGCAGAACTCATTCTTTCCAAAGTAGTACCACTTAGTTAAAAAAAAACAACTAAGCACTCTCTTTTAAAAAGAGTTCACCTTTGATGCCAGGAGACATTTAACATACTATAACTTGACCATGGCAGGAATAACATGAGAAACTAAAATGAATAACAAATAAGGACATTGGTCATAGTAAATCATAGCACAGCTCTTTGTGCCAGCATTTATTAAAGCTACTGAGATTTGTGGCGGGAAGTATTTATAATCTTTTTTTTTCTTTTTGTCAGTCATGGGGCCTGAACTCTCGGCCTGGGTGCTGTCCCTCAGCCCTTCAGCTCAAGGCTAGTGCTCTACTACTTGAGCCACAGCACCACTTCCAACTTTTCTGCTTATGTGGTGCTGAGGAATCAAACCCAGGGCCTCATGCATACAAGGCAAGCATTCTACCACTGAGCCACCTTCCCAGCCCATTTTATATTTTCTTCCTTTTAAAGAAGTATTTAATAAGGTCATGGGATGCTCTCAATTACTTTTATAAGCTTGGGTGATGAACAGTATATCCGTGTGAGCTAATGACAGTTTGTCAGTCAAGTCACAAGAGGGAAAAGGTAGAAAGAGATTGTGTTTGCTATTAATTCATGCTCATAATGGCATCTTCAAATTTCAGGTAGAGAAATTCCTGAAATGGGTTAATGAACCAGCAGATGAGGAAACATCACAAGCATCATTTTCACAAGACCACGTGCAAGATACCTGCACAAGCAGTGAATCAGAACAAGACATACCTGCTAATAAAGCTGATGATCCAATGAAAACAGGAAGTCCAGAACCTGGAAAATGTCAAGTCAACACTTTTGTTGGGGAACTGGAAATGGAAGAAAAGAAAGAAGGAGACAGTGTTGTAGCTGCTGTCTTGGAGGAACAGGATTGTATAACTAAAGAAATACCAGACTGTTCTCAGCTAGAAACTGACAGTAAGATTACATATACTTTAGTTTGCTGGTTGGTTTCCATGAGTACATTTTGTCTTTCATTTGTATTTCCTTAGTTTCACTCTGTGTCATCTGTGCTTCCAGCTTCATCGTATTTCATTTGAAATGAGAGAAAGCATTTTGGGTGTGAGTGCACTAGGTAGCTATGACGTACAACCCCAAGCCCTCTTCACTGTCAGCTAAGCCATCATGATAAAATCAAGGAGAAAGCGTAGGAGAATACTACATGTAAAGACCACATCTGCCATCAAGCTTGTGCTGGACACTGTTATGCTTAAGGTGGTCCATCCCTCTTGAAATTTGCTGTAGCTCTGATTTTCTTTTTCATAATTCTTTTTGTTTTTGTAGTTGGTTGTGGTAGCGTATTTTTTTCTAATGGTACATTGATATAAAGTTTTCATAGTACTTGGCTCTAAAGAATAGGGAAATGTCACATTTCTTACTTTATACCCTTTTGTACTATTTGAATTTTTCTGTGTGCCACTGGGGCTTGAACTTACGGCCTGGGCACTGTACATGAGCTTCTTTCACACGAAGCAAGAGCTATACCACTTGAGTCACAGTGTCACTTCCGGCTTTTCCTGAATAGTTTATTGGAGGTAAAGAGTCTCATGGACTTTCTTACCCAGTCTGACTTTGTACCATGATCCTCAATCTCAGCCTTCTGAGTAGCTAGAATTACAGGCATGAGCCACCACCTCCCAGCTTAACAAGTTCATTTTGTTGTTTTTATGTTTTGTTTTGTTATGCAGTACTGAGGCTTCAGCTCATACTTGATAAGCAAGTGGTCTACCACTTGAGCCACTCCACCAGCAAAATGTAATTTTTAAAATTTATTTATTGTTATTATTAAGGTGATGTCCAGAGGGGTTATGTAAGTCAGATTGAGTATATTTCTTTTTTAACAATGTCATCCCTTCCCTCACTTTCCCAGTTTTTCCTTCCCATTCTCAACCACACATTGTATAGTTCATTTTCAACATAGAGTCAAATGAGTACCACTGCTGCATTTGTTGACCCTTGGTCCCACCATTTCTTTGCCCCCACCTGCCCTCCCCAAGACAGATAAACAAGACAAAAAGAAATGAAAACAAAAAGAAGAAGGAAAAAAAGCCTCTTGTTTCTTCTTCCTGGTCCTGGCGTTCATTTCATGAAATAAATATTATTTTGTATAGTCAAACACACATAGCTATTGTACCTATATGATCCTCTTAAGAATATCCTCCCTTGGTCTCACTCTATGTGAATGCCTAGGGACCTATATAATTTATCATGTTCCCAGTGTTGTTGTTGTTGTTGTTGTTGTTATACCACCAGTATGTTTCTTGTAGATTTATAGGCATATTTTAGTTACCACAAATGAGGGAAACAATGCAACCTGTGTTTTGAGTCTGACTTATTTCACTCAATATAATTTCTTCCAAGTCTTTCCATTTCCTATGGATGGTACAATACCATTCTTTGTGGTGGGAGAGAATAGTTCCATTATGTATATAAAATGTGATCATTTTTATATCTATCTATAATGTTTGTGGCCCTTCTCCCTCCCCCCCCCAAAAAAAAGCTTAGAACTAGATTGTTCCATTTTGGAATATTTGCAAAGAGAAAGAAAGAGAAGTATCTTTAAGAAAAAGAGAACTTCTATCACAAATTCTTTTATGTTCTTGTGCACTTGAACAGAGAACCTAAAGGCAATTTTATACACAGTTTTTAATACACTCAAATATTGATTGCAGGTAGATATGTCAGCTCAGAAAGTTTCAGATTTTGGAAGATTTTATAATTTCATTTGGGGATAATCAGATCATCAGTGCTACAAAGAATGCTAGTAAAATGTTATATGTTCATTCATTTTATAGGTATAAAAAAAATTGAATATTGGAAAGCCTCAGATTAAAAACAAAACAACAGCCGGGCGCTGGTGGCTCACGCCTGTAATCCTAGCTACTCAGGAGGCTGAGATCTGAGGATCGCGGTTCAAAGCCAGCCCGGGCAGGAGAGACCGTGAGACTCCTATCTCCAATAAACCACCAGAAAACCGGAAGTGGTGCTGTAGCTCAAGTGGTAGAGCGCTCTCCTTGAGCTGAAGAGCTGAGGGACAGCGCCCAGGCCCAGAGTTCAAGTCCCACGACCGACCAAAAACAAACAAAAAAAAAAAATAACAGCTATAATGTGAAGCCAGTGGCATGTCCTTCCTGCTGCTCTGGATGTGTCTTTACATGTGTTCTGAAACAATGCAAAACTGTAACTATTTAGTATAGCTACCCCTTTAGACTTTGAGTTCTTTTTTTTTTCCATAGTGAACACCTGTGTTCTTTGCATTTTATTTTAGCTGAAATGAAGAAGAAAAAGAAGAAGAAAAAAAATAAAAACAAAAAGGTAAATGTGCTGCCTCATGAGATAGCTTCTGTTCCTGAGCTGGCAAAATACTGGGCCCAGAGATACAGGCTTTTCTCCCGTTTTGATGATGGCATTAAGCTGGACAAAGGTAATGTGTGTATTTTTTAAGTTTATTTTAAAACCAGTAAAGCTGTAATATAGCAGAATTTTCATATCCTCCTTACTTGGATTCTGTTACTTCCACACTTACCATATTTATCATTCTCTGTTTATATGTATGTGTATTTCTTTTTTTTTATTGTGAAAATACCATACAGAGGGGTTATGTATGTGTATTTCTGATAAATGCATACATACTACTACCCTTTAATACTTTAGTCTGCAGTTCCAAGAACAAGTACAGTTTAATAATAATAATGTAGTAATAATAATTATGTCATGAATTGTCCTACTTGTGTTCCTTATACAATCTTTTTCTTTTCAGTATAGGATCAGGTATTACATTTATTTATCACGTTTCTCTAGTTTCCTTTAATCTGTAAGAGTTTGTCAAGTTCTCCCCATTCCCAACCCCAATTGGGGATTAAACCCAGGGCCTTAAACATGGTAGATCTTGGCTTTGCCAATGACCTACACCCCAACCCACTTTTGACAGTTGCCATAGCAGTGATGTTCTGTACAGTAGGCTTCAATTTGGGTATTTATGTATTTTTAAAACCTTAGATTGAGGTTTAATCTGTAGTTGTAGTATCTTCCAAAAGTAATGAATAAATTATGTAAAGGAATGGCCACTGAAGATTTAACAAATGCCAAACATTATAATTTAATTAATTGACATTGGGAACTTGAATTTTTTAACCTTTCCTATTCTGATCATGAGCAATTTATTTGCATACTGACGCTCATTTTCATATTAAGGTTTCCTAAATTCTAATTTTTTTTTTTTCCAATTCTGGGGCTTGAGCTTAGTGCTTGGACACTGTCCCTGAGCTTCTTTTGCTCAAAGCGAGCACTCTACCACTTGAGCCACAGCACAGTTTCCAGCTTTTTCTGTATAGTTTATTAAAGATAAGGGTCTCATGGATTTTCCTGCCCAGGCTGGCTTCAAACCACAGTGCTCAGATCTCAGCCTCCTGAGTAGGTAGGATTACAAGTGTGAGCCACTGACATCCAGCTTAAGTACGAATCTTTATTAAACTATCAGAAGCAGAATGTCTTGATCCATAATAGATTTTTTGGAACTCATAGTTTTCTATCATAATTTGCAAAATATTTATGGCAGTTTATAACCGTTCTCTTTTTTAAGGCTGGTTTGTTTGTGCTGGTACTAGGGCTTGAATTCAGGGCCTTTGCTAGAATTTTTCACTCAAGCCTGATGCTCTGCTACTTGAGCCTCACCTCTACTTCTTCATTATAGTTCCTTATAACTAGGAAAAACTTGACGGTCTGTAAGGAGTTTATATGGGCACCAGTAACTCACACCTGTAATCCTAGCTATTTGGGTGGCTGAGATCTCTGTTCCCAGCAAGCCCAAACAGGAAGTTGGTGAGACTTTTACCTCCAATTAACCAGCAAAAAGCTGGAAATGGAGCTGTGATTCACAGAAGCCTTGAACAACACATCTCAAGGGCAGTGCCTAAGCCCTGTGTTCAAGCCCCAGGACTGGTACCAAAAGGGGCAGTTTATACTTTTAATATTCCAGTAATAAGGAGCCATTTAAATTTTTATTTGTGGGGAGGGGGGACAGGAAATTTGGCATATTGTTTTGTTCAGAGAAATGCCTCTGAAAAATGCATATTTCTACTGGGGGAAGAGAGTGTATCTCCTTCCCTCCAGAATAAACACAGGACCACATTTCTGAAAGTGACGAGGGCTACTGTTCACACCGTACTTAGGTTACTAGCTCTTTCTTTTTCAATCCTTGAAAACATGCAGATTTCCCCCAACATGTCCAGTATAAACTGGGACATTGTTTTTCCATTAGGAGTTGAATTACTTCGGAAACTCACTGGTGTTTTGGGGAGCTAATGTTAGAACTGCCAACTTATAAGCGGTTCTTAGTACTTCAAACAGAAATATTGATGTTGTATACAGTTACTGGAGAAATGGGAGTTAGATGAATCTGGCTAAGAATTGGAATGTTAATTTGTATAATTAAAATTAGGCATAGCCAAGCATCGGTGGCTCACGCCTATATTCCTCAGGAGGCTGGGATCTGAGGATCACAGTTCAAAGCCAGCCTAGGCAGGTAACTCTGTGAGACTCTTATCTCCAATAAACCACTCAAAACCGGAAGTGGCATTGTAACTCAAGTGGTAGAGCACTTGCCTTGATCTGAATTGCTGAGATATAACACCCAGGCCCAGAGTTCAAGCCCCACAACGGACAAAAAAAACAAAAATAGGAATAGTACTGCTTTTTGTAACAAGCTTTGTTGAATTTTCCTTTAAAAGTAGTTAACTTCAATTTTTTGGAAAAGAGAAAGTAAGCCTTTTTTAAATATGTAATAATTTTTTAAATGTTTGTTTTGTTTTTACTTGGCTTGAAACTGAATGTCTTAACAAATCCCCTTCATTTGCAGAAGGTTGGTTTTCAGTTACACCTGAGAAGATTGCTGAGCACATCGCTGGTCGGGTCAGTCAGTCCTTCAGGTGTGACATTATCATAGATGCGTTCTGTGGAGTTGGAGGAAATACCATTCAGTTTGCCCTAACAGGAAAAAGAGGTAATTAGTCAGTGATGGAAAAGAACTATTTTATTTGCAGTTCATTCAGTGAATGTTTTCATTTTTCTTTAGTCTTTCTAGAGATTCAGTAATTGACAGTTTTGTTAAATCATCTTCATAGTTGTTTGACTTTGGAATCGAGGAAGAAAATTTTCTTTATATCTGTCAGTGAAACCTTTAAGGAATAGGCCATGCATGGTGGTTCACACTTATATTTCCACTGTGCAGGAGTCAGAGGAAGGAGGATTATTGCTTGAGTCAAGCCTGGGCAAAAAAAAAAAGTGAGATCCTTTCTCAAAAGACAAACCAGGTGATATGGTTAACTATGGTAAATCAAACTATTCAGGAAGCAGATGCAGCAGGATTACATTTTCAAGACTAGCCTGGGCAAAATTAACAACCCTCTTTTCTTAGAAACAAAAGGGCTCAGGCATAGCTTAAGTACATGGGTCTGGGTTTGATCCCAGTACCTTTAAAAAAAAAAAGCCATACCCTGAAGATCCTTTTTTCCCCAATATCTTCTTAATATACATATTAGTTGATGATAATTTCCATTTTAGTAGATTTCAGAAGAATCCTATAACAATTTGTGTGGCATTCTTAATGTTAGCTGGGAAAATGTAATGTGATTCTGGAAAACAGTGGGGAGTTTAGATAAAAATTCAGTGATCTTACTGTACCATTGGTTTTAGGATCATTCACTAACTTCACAGTCTTTTAACAGCCTAGATAAAAGCTATTTTCACATGTGCCCAGAAATAACTAACTATGAGCCATTCCTATAAGGTCAATTGTCTGAAAAACAGTTTTTCTTAAAAAATTGTAAAATTCATCTTTGTTTTAACATTGTATGTTAAAATTAAAGGTAAATATCTGGTCCTGATGAAGCCAATGAGTCTGGAAATTTTCTTTAAATATGTGAAACAGTTTTTATTGTATATTTTTATTTTATTAATTTTACTTTTCTTTCCTAGTACTAGAGTTTTAACCTAGGACCTTGCACTTATCAGCTTTGGTGCTTTAACTGCAGACATACTTGCAGCCTTACTTCTACTCCTTATTTTGAAGATGGAGTCTCACAGACTTTTCTCTCTGGGCTGGCTTCAAATTGTAAGCCTCCATATCTCAACCTCCTGAGTAACAGATATAGATAGATGGATGGATAGATAGATAGATAGATAGATAGATAGATAGATAGATAGATAGATAGATAGATAGATAGATAGATAGATAGATTTTTATTTTTTTTTATTTTTTTGTCAGTCTTGGGGCTTGAACTCTGGGCCTGGGTGCTGTCTCTTCAGATCAAGGCGAGCACTCTACCACTTGAGTCACAGTGCCACTTCTGGCTTTTTCTGCTTATGTGGTGCTGAGGAATCGAACCCAGGGCCTCATACATTCAAAGCAAGCATTCTACCACTGAGCCACCTTCCCAGCCCCCTGTAGATTTATTTTTAACAAGTAAAGACCCATTGCCAAGGCTTTTGTAGTTTTAGTATAATTGGGTAAAGGAAGATAACTACTCTGAGTCCCAAGCCAAAGGGAGAATGTTTCTTCTGTGTTTTCACAGTCCAGCTCCTTCATGGCCCCTCAGTTTCATTTAACCTCACTCACCTAGCCAACACTGGGCCTTCCTTGTGCTATCACAATCTAGCCTCTGCTCCAGCAGCATGTAGGACCAGAAGTGGACTCAGCTTATTCTGTGATGTGATGTCCTGTGCCCTGCTTCCCAGGCCAGAAGTGATTGTTGAGGTACTCTGAATGCTACTTGTAGATGTTCTTCCTAAAATTCTACTAGGTGGGTGAGCTGACTACAATATGCAAAAAATTCAGAATAATTACAGATTGTGTGTGTGTACTCACCCATATGGACACATTTACAATTATACTTAATTCTTGAACTCTAGTGCAGGCATGTGTTTGTATGTATATATATAAAAATATGATTTGGTATGTGGTTTATAATATCCCTTTGTACAAGGAATACTGTTTTTGTCTGTAAATATAAATATACTAGGTGATTAGGGAATCTGCAAAGCTATTAGGGATATTATATATTCCAGTAGTTCAGCCTTGAGACTTCCTGATAGAAGTTTGCATGATAATAGAAATGTTCAGTGTCTGTACGGTCTAACAAGGTAACTAATAGCCACATAAGGTTTTTGGTGGTGGGGAGGGGCCGTTTTTTGGTTCTTTAGGGGATTTTGTTTGTTTATTTGTTGAGAAAAGGAGCTTGCTTAGTACTCCTGTCTAGTCTTGAACTTAGTCTGCCTGCCTCCATCTCCTATACGCTGCACATTTTTCTTAGTATTATTAATTTTAATTAATCAAAAGGTAAAAGTTGCTAGTGGCTACCATTATTGAACAGCACAGATTTGTCATCGTTTCATTTATGCGGTAGTATTTAATGTTGTGTTGGCCTGAAATTAATATTTGCCCATAAAAACAGTATAGATGAAACCAAGATTAACTAAATGTGACACTGAAAATTTTTGTTTGATTTTTAGTATTTTTAATGAATTTAAAGAATAACAAATATATAAAGTATATCTTATAAGTTAGAATATTTATTTATTTAAAACAGGAAAGACCTCATTAGAATTAGCCTGTTTTTGCAATACATTGTAATCAATAACATTATTGGGCTGCCAATTCTATAATAGTATTTACATTCGTTATACATCATGTACATTTAGAAAATAGGATATTCGTTGTTCCAGTGATGTAAGGAATTACCTCTCAAAGGTGTTAATAAATCTCGAAAGTAGCATTTTTCCGAAAAACAATTCCATTTCCGTGATAACATGCTGTCTGTATCAGGGTTCCCTGTTGTCCTTGTATGTATAGAAAATTGCCCTAACACACATATTGCACATTCACCCATGGGTGCAATTAACTATAAGATGTGAATGAGCTAAATTAACTTTTATTTGTGTTGGTTGCTATGAAATTGCAATAAGTTAAGTGAAGGAAAATAAAAGCCATCAGGGCTCCTCTACCTAAAGGGTCACTAATATCTTTTCATCTCTTATTCCTGACTTGGCTATATAGGTTTATAAAAATGCTTTGATTTGGGTTTTCTATAGAAGTTGTCAAATTCGTCTTCACTTGGGCATTCTTATTCTAAGGAAATTTGTCTTATGAAAGCAGGCATTTGCAAGTGCTTCTTGGCTGTTCATAGCATGGCAAGGGCTGACCACGTATTTGATATTTGGTATACACTTAACGCAGCTATCACCTGTAGCTTAGGATTCTGGCTGAGAGAAGCACCTGAAACCTGCTCTTTCTTAACCACAAGTGAGTCTAATGTAAATAAAAACATTATGACTTTTAATTATGACAAAAAGGTTGTTTGGGGGTTTGAAGAGGGGTGGAGGAGCTTGAACTCAAGGCCTGAGCACTGTCTGTAACATTCTTTTTACTCAAGGTTAGCACTCTACCACTTGAGCCACAGTACCACTTCTGGCTTTTTCTGCATAGTTTATAGGATAAGAGATATGAGATGAGAGTCCAATGGACTTTTCCTGCCCCAGCTGGCTTCAAACCATGACCTTCAGATCTCAGCCTCCTGAATAACTAGGATTTATAGGAGTGAGCCACCGGCACCTGGTTTGTGTAAAACAGGTGTTGTTTTTTTTTTTTTAATAGAATATCAGCATACTGTTGGACAAACGCACTCTCCTATATAACTAAAATCCGTGTCAACTGACTCATTTTTTTCTTTTCTGATTCTTAGTGATTGCCATTGATATCGACCCTGTGAAGATTGATCTTGCTCGTAATAATGCTGAAGTTTATGGGATAGCAGATAAGATAGAGTTCATCTGTGGAGATTTCCTGCTCCTGGCACCTTGTTTAAGGGCTGATGTTGTGTTCCTGAGCCCACCATGGGGAGGACCAGATTATGCCACTGCAGAGACCTTTGACATTAGGACAATGATGTCTCCTGATGGATATCCTTTGAAGTCCTAAGAGTTTACAAATTACTTGTGGAAAAGAGTGTGTTTGTGTGAGAGAAACTGGTGAAGGAGGGAGATACTAGCTAAAAATATTTGGTATATTTCAGTTTATTTGCAAAAGAAGGAAAAACCCAGATAATAAAAAAAAAAATCTCTGGTTGACCTTTAAAAGGAATAGCAAATGTGAAGTCACATACTACTTGACTTACTATTATAAAATAAGAACTTGGATATATTGTTTGGAATTCTCTTCAAAGCTATTCTTAAGAGTCTTGAGTGCCAGGCACTGGTGGTAACTCACTCCTGTAATCCTAGCCACTCAGGAAGCTGAGATCTAAGGATTCAAGCTCAAAGCCAGCCTAGGCAGGAAACTCCGTGAGACTCTTATATTCAATTAACCACCAGAAAAACAGAAGTGGCACTGTGGCTCAAGTGATAGAGCAGTAGCCTTGAGCTGAAGAGCTGAGGGACAGGGCCCAGGCCCAGAGTTCAAGCCCCATGACCGACCCAAAAATAAAGGCTTGAGTGACTGATTTATAGAATCTTGTATTTAATTTTCATGTAGCCTCCCTTGAAGGATTTAAATTTGTGCCTTTTCTATATATACTAAAATACATATGGCTTATTATTAATAAATGTTTTTTCTGGTCAAAGACCAGCTGCTCTTTTCCTTAACTGCTCTCTACCTTTGAAATTTTCAGGCTTTCTCAGAAGATCACTAATAATATTGTTTATTTTCTTCCAAGAAATGCTGATATTGACCAGGTAAGCCTTGCTGCAGAATTTCTATGGGCCACTGATTTGTTACAAAGAATGGGCAGAAAAAGGATGCAGGTAATTTCCTTACCAGAGTGCCAGTTTGAGAATTGCCTATGTTGTGGACTGTAATTAGCTACTGGAAGTGTATCCAGCAGATAGATACATGTCTGTTACACTGTCCTTCCTCTCCTCAGTTCTAGGAAACAAGGACACAAATCTAGCACTCTGGACTTTAATGAGGATGTATTTTCAGTGCATCCTTTTAACATGATTGTGTTGTTTTAGATACTATAAAACTAAACTAGCCACAGTCTGCTTTGACTGATACCTGCCTGGAGAATGAAGCCTAGCTAGAATTAAAGAGATAAGACCTTTCATTTGGCCAAGAACAATTTTAACTATATCTCCTATTTGTCCCTCAACCACATTCTCAGCATCTTTTTAGGGGCATTTCTTACTAGTTGATCTTCCATATCTGTGCTTCTTCATGACTCAGAGCTAATATCTAGAGTTTTAGATAAGGCTGGGCTTTCTGATTCCATACTTCTTTCTCTTCTCATGTAATTATTTGCTCTATAGCTGTCTTATCAGAGACTGTCCTTTACTGGGCTATTGTATTGTGATCCTTATCAATCCATCCATTGATCACTGTGTGTATGTGTGTGTGTGTGTATGTGTGTGTGTGTCTCTCTCTCTCTCCCTCTCTCTCTTGATAAATAGTTGGAAAGTGGTTGTTCAGTGTAAATTTTTAAGTAAGTAAATTTTTTTCTAGTTAAATTAACATTTTCCCAACAAGAAAGTTAACTTCCTTAATTTCTGCTTTTTGGCTCTGGAAACCTGCCAAAATTAGAGCTGATAGTTCATTCATGTTTTCTGCCTGTAGAGGGAGTAATAATACTAGAAAATAATACAAGTCAAAAGGAAACTAGGAAGACTTCAAGTTATTTTTTGTGGTATTAAATTTAGGTCAAATTATAGTAGGAAGTCAACTTTTTCCTTCTTAAAAGAGAAAATGTATCTATATTTGATGAGAAGAGACGGTAATAAAAGACTGAGAGAAACCAGAGGTACCAAGAAACTGACTTTCTGTTCAGGAACACTGAGAATGTCACAACTTTGGGCTACGTTCCCGAAGTTCATGAGTCTGCTGCTTAAAACTCTAGCTGCATTTCCTCCTATAGAGGTGTCTATAAAGAGCGATTAGTTTCCCATCTGGGTAAATTGTATGATATACTGTTTATATTATCCTAAACTAAATATGATCCATCACAAAAACAGGTTGTCTCAAAAATTATTCTGTGTAAAAGATTATGCCAGTTGTTCTCTGGATCCAGTGACATATTTTGTTGTGTTCCTTTTGGTGATACTAGGATTTGAACTCAGGCTCACACTCACTTGGCTTCACTTGCTTAGCTTAGCTTGCTCAGGTGGCACTATACCACTTGAACCCTTCATTTGAACTCACTTCAGCCCTTCATTTCGGTGGTTGTTGCCAGATGGAGTCAACTGGGCTTTTTCACCTCAGCTAGCTTCAAATCATATTCTACTAAATCTCAGCTTACTGTGAGTAGCTAGGATTATAAGGGTGAATACCCAGTTGGTAAAATTTTTCTAATTGTTCCCTTACTCTGATCTCTTGATTCTCTTTTTCTTTTGAAGCATTATTCTGGGACATGAATCCCTTGCTATTCAAACTCTCACTTTTAACCTGAGAACTGAATAATTTTAAAACTTGTTTTGTGAGAAACTGTGAAAATCTCTCTAAAATTGCCATTGAACCTCAAAGACATGTCTTAGGTTAGATTTAATTCAGAGAGCCACAGTGACTATCTTATCTACTTGATGCCTGTATTTTCTAGGTTTCCTTTCATTTCTTTCTTTGACCATCATGGATATCCAGCTTGAAATGAGAATCACCTCCTCTTTTAAGTAGTAAACCTAAGCAGAATGATTCATCTTCCCATAGAAGCTGCGTAGTAGTTACCAAGCACCACTGCTGTGTGAAATCTGTAGTGGGCTAAACCTCTAGACATGAAGAGTATTGTCTCTTAGCCAGACATCAGAAAAATGAAAACAAGTTCTGATCCATTTTGAACACTAACTCTTACCTTTGTTTGATTTTTATAAATAGACATAGAATGGTACAGCTCAAAAAGTAATAACATATTCATTCCAAATGAATGCCTTAACCATGTTCATACCAATACAGACAACAAGTAACACTGGATGTAAAAAATAAACTGGGGGCATTCCATCAGGTAATTCCTGGCCCTTATCCAACATACTATACCTGCCATAGCCTCTTCAGCTGTACATCCTTGGCTGCAGTTAGACCAACTTCCCTCCCCTCCCCACCCGATGTATTTCATTTCCTCAAAAAAGGGAAAATATATACAAATTAACATCATGCTTGAACAAAACGCCCTATGATTATATTGTGTCTGTAAGTACAGAGATTAATCAAGGAATGTATCCCTTTCTAGAAGGCAGAACTCCAGGATCCCATTGGCTTTTTAAATTCCATTCCATAGGGGTCTGAATGTGTAGCCCAGTGGTAAATTATGTGGTTAATATGACCTTGGATTCAATCCCCAACATAAAAAAAGAAAAAAATTAGCAAAATTCCACTCTGTTATGTCAAGTGAGGGAAACATTCCTAATCATAGCAGTCACCACATTTCATAGGTTTTTTTCCTGGATTTTTTGTTTTTTGTTATTTTTTTTTCAGTTTAGGGAAATGAACACAGGGCCTCTTGCATACTAAGCAAGCACCGTATCATTAAACTACATCCCCAGCCCCCAGTGGATTATTTCACTGGTGTGTAGGTAAGTAGATAGGAATGAGGTGTTTCTTTGTGCAATTTATAAAATTTGCCATGAGAAAAATAAGAGTAGCATACATTTGAATAAATAGAACTGTCTGCAAATGAGAGAATTCATTAGATGACACTTTCATTTGGAAAATATTTTAATATAACCAATTTCAACTCATTGGCATTGTTAAAGAACAAAAATTTATGGTTGGTTTTCTTTATAAATAGTAGCTCTGGGGGCTGGGAAGGTGGCCCAGTGGTAGAGTGCTTGTCTTGCATGCATGAGGCCCTGGGTTCGATTCCTCAGCACCACATAAGCAGAAAAAGCCGGAAGTGGCACTGTGGCTCAAGTGGTACAGCGCTAGCCTTGAGCTTAAGAGCTGAGGGGCAGATCCCAGGCTCAGAGTTCAGGCCTCATGACCAGCAAAAAAAAAAAAAAATAGTAGTTCTGAGTAATTCTATTATTTGCTTATTTAATAAATGGAAAAATAGGGCTTTAATGATTGCTAAATATTAGAATTAATTTAAAACTACATGACAAAATGTTCTAAATTCAACTGGATGGTGGGTGGCTCATGACTGTAATCCTCTCTATTCAGGAAGCTGAGATCTGAGGATCACAGTTCAAAGCCAACCCAGGCAGGAAACTCCATGAGACTCTTATCTCCAGTTAACCACCAAAAAGCCAGGAATGGAGATGTGGCTCAAATGGTAGAGTTCCAGCCTTAAGCAAAAAAGCTAAGGGATGGGCTGGGAAGGTGGCTGAGTGGTAGAGTGCTTGCCTCGCATGCATGAGGCCCTGGATTTGATTCCTCAGCATCATGTAAGCAGAACAAGCTGGAAGTGGCACTGTGGCTCGAGTGGTAGAGCTCTAGCCTTGCTGAATTGCTGAGGGACAGAGCCCAGGCCCAGATTTCAGACCCCACAACCAACAAAAAAAAAAGAAAAAAAGCTAAGGGAGAACAGCCAAGCCATAGGTTCAAGCCCCAGTACCAACACCAAAAAAATATATATATATTTGTAATGGGAATCTAGCCTACTGATAGCATTCTCATATAGTAAATCTGTATGCATGTGGTACTATGAAGTCATTCCAATGGATAGAGGACTTTAATCTTGGTTAGGGAACCAGAAACGTGAAAGACTAGTCCTAAGGACTGGATTAGGTTTCTGATACTTTCAAGAATTGTAGGCTTTAAAACAACTGAACCTGAAAATAATAGTCTTTACAACCCAGAGTACCCCAAAAGCATTGATCCTACCAACAATGCTCTGCAAGTATACATGTGTACTATACATGAATTAAATAAACATTTTCTGTAATATAGATACTTAGGATTCTGTACATTTCATTGGGTTATTATAAATTATAAAACCTGTAGAATATCTGTTAATTGATTTTATTACTAGTTTTATTTTCACGTAAGCTAGGGAAGTTAAGTAATTTGCCTAGCTATTCTGCCATGACCACCATAATACCTTGCTGCCTCCCACTGAGGGGATATTTGTTGCCAAGAAGGAATAGATTTCATCTGTTACCACCTTGAGATTAGAAGCAGTGATTAGAAGATGAGGTGACAAGAAAAGCAAAGGGAATTTCTGATGTATTCAGAAAAATTCCTGATGAATCAGTTTCAGTTTGTACCTTTTTATGCAAAAGATGACAGATCTAAAATATTGTGGTGAAGTAGAAAGTCCTCATTGCCCTTGAATTTGACCTGCTGCAGGTATTCCTTCATTGCTCCATCCTCAACTCTCTTGTCCAAATTCTTCACCACTCTGGTCTCACAGTCTTTAAGGAAGATAGAAGGAATAGGAAAAATACTAATACTGCACTGAAGTGATAACTGAAAAACATTAGAGAGAGCCGGGTACCCATGGCTCAGGTCTAAGCTACTCAGAGGCTGAGATAGGAGGATTGCTATCTGGAGCCAGCCTGGGCAAAAAAGACTGTCAGACTCTGTATCTCCAGTAAACTATTATTTTTTTAAAAAAGCTAGAAGTGGAGCTGTAGCTCAAGTTTAGAGCACTAGCCTTGAGCAAAAGAAGCTCAAGGACAGCACTCCAGCCCTAAGTTCAAGCCCCAAGAGTAGTGCATGCATTTACACACACAAACTGAGAAACTGTTAGATTTAGATGACTTGGTCAGAATTCCTCATTTTGCCCTTTCTTGTAAAATGTCAGCCTTAAATAAAGATAAACAAGTAGAATGTAAAACACATTTCTAATAATTGCTACTGTGAGACCACTTGACTATTTTTAAATTTCTACTTTCATTTCAAGTGTTCCTTACAAAAAAACAGTATCCATGTGTTTGAATCATTATAAGGTATTTGATGTCGGACTTGTTTTCATGTAACTCTGTTTATAAAATGATAATAAGCACAGCCAACTTGGGTTGTTTTGTTGTTTAAATCCTTTGGCATTGGTGTTGGTCAATGATATTACTGCATTGGTGGAACAAATTTTTTTTGAAGAGTGTATCATAGAATAGCGTGGTTCTTCCGTATTTCTTTATCTTCAACCTTGTTTCTAACAGGAAGTTGAAATAATTTTAAATACATGCTCATTAGTAATGCACAGTAAATCTGACCCTACCAGATGTATGTGTGGTTTCTATTATACCTCTAATTCTCTCAACCCTTGAAACCAAACTAGACTGAATACATTTTTTTGCAAAATATCTAACTGCAGTTCTACCAATGACAGTGCACAGGCTTCCTCTGCTTGTACCTAATACTTGAGATACCCCTTTCTCTATCCCTGCATGACTTCCGCCCTGCCTACCCAGGGTTCTCCACCATATTCTCCCTTCTAGCAATCTTTCCTGTCGCCACTCTAGTAATCTGATCTCCGTTGCCATGATCCTGGGTTAGAATTTACCATGTCTGTTAGCTAATAGATCTCTGAGATGGGGTGAGGGGATGCATCAAAACACAAGGCTTATCTGTGTAAGAACTTGGTGTGAAATATAGCTGTTTTGAAGCCTTAACAAAAAAAAAAAAAATCAAGAGCCAGGTGCAAATGGCTCATCCCTGTAATCCTGGAGGCTAAGATCTAGGGATCATGGTTGGAAGCCAGCCCAGCAGGAAAGTCTGTGAAACTCTTTATCTCCAATAAAATACTGAGAGAAAAAAAAGAAGTGGCACTGTTGTTGCTCAAGTGGTAGGGTAGCCTTGAGCAAAAGAAGCTCAGGGACAGTGCCCAGGCCCAGAATTCAAGAATATTATATTATCCAAACAAAAGAATCTTTAGCAGCTAATTGCACCTATTGTCCAGCATTAGCATGACATCATTTTGTTGTTATCTTTACAAAGGAGTTGGAAGAACCTTTAGCTCTCTGATAAAGAGAGTTGCTTATTATGTTGTAATACAGCTCAAAATAAGCTATATATATTTTAGCACAATAATAAGCTTTAAAAGGTTTAAAGTAACTAAAAAAGAGCAACAGGTAGAGAATGTGGTTCATGTTAGGAGAACAAGAGCCTGGCTAGAAAAAGAAAAAAAAAAGTATAGAGACTTGGCTCCTCATGAGACTAGGAATCCTGGCTGGATCAAAGCTATCTTACCCTGCTATGATCATAGTTTATGTAACAGGTACTCCATAAATATTGTTCACTAATCCAGAGGGTGATATGAGGAGTGAACAAGACATGGGCCTTTGGAAAGTGGCTTCTCCAAATGTCTATGTAAATAAATAAGCCTGACACTTGAAGAAGGGTTTGTCCATTTTCTCTTCCTCAGAGATTTTTAGCTTATGACATTACAGAGAGCAAGACCTTTTTGCTTCATTAATACCTACCTGAGAAGTGATGTTTGAAATGGTTTTTTATTTGAAGGACTTAAAAAGCTAATCTTCCTGATACTTGATTAGGCAAAGTGAATGAAAGAATTGTTCTAGAGATAATATTTGTGTATATGTGGCTTTCTCTCTGTTAATCTTTTTAGGTGGCATCCTTGGCTGGACCTGGAGGGCAAGTAGAAATAGAACAGAACTTTCTTAACAATAAATTGAAGACAATCACTGCTTATTTTGGTGACCTGATTCGAAGACCAGCTTCTGAAGCCTAAATAAGAGGCCATATAAGGACAAAAAGATCATGTGGTAATCAATATTATCTAAATGAGACTGAGGAATGTCCACCTGTGCTCATTAACACTTTGTTACTCATATCTTATGTTACCACATCATATGGAGACCTTAGTGAGTTGTAATGAATATCAGTGAAGTGTTTTGAGATCTTTGGAGAACATTAACTATGAACCATATATTATACAGCAGAAGATTCAAGTATCTGATATAGAAAGAAGTGTGCCTTTGTGTTTAATTTCAGTGGGTATCTATGTAAATGTATGTGTATTTTTATTTTTATATTTTGTCTTAACATCTTTGTGTATGTACATATATATGTTTACAAAAATTCTGTAGTTTTTTATTTGGGTTCTTTTGTGTGTATGTGTGGTGGTGTTTATGTTGTAGTTTTTTAGTTTGTTTTTTTTACTCAGAGCCTCACACTTGTACACAGCTTGCTTCCTTAGCTGGCCCTATACCATTTGAGCCATACCTCTAGCCTTACTTTTTGCTGATTAATTGGAGATGGAATCTTAAGGTCTTTTCAAAGCCTAGTTGCTTTGAAATATGATCTTCTAGATCATATCCTAAGTAGCAGGGTTGGCATGAGGCATCTGGCTAATAAGTATTTTGGTTTTAATGTAGACAAATAGAAAATAATGAATGAGTTGTATTCTGTCCACCCATTTAACTCCTGTAATAATGTTAAAAATTAATGCTAGAAAAGTAAATAATGCAAAACAGTTCAAAAAGGAACGTCTCCCCAAAAATCCCTACACTTTATTCATCTAAAGATAATCACAACTAACAATACTTATAATTTTTTGGAGAAAAGAAAAAAATTACAGTATACCCTAATACAAGTGTAATTTTTCCCCTTTATTCAACCTGCTTTTCCCCTTTCATATGCATTTTACATTTGTGTATCATGAGGACCTTTCCATATCAGTAGATACATGTCTTCTACCTCATTCCTTTAAATTGCTGTCTTATGTTCCATCTTCCACTTGTACTATCATGACCCAATATCCTATTGATGAACCCAAACTGTTTTCATGTTTTTGCATTACTGACTCTTCTGTGCCATCCTTACATATTGCTGAGCAGGTGTCCCCTTTGGTCATTTCCAGCAGTTAGTTTGCAGGGAGGCAGAAGGGTCTACATAATAGTTTTGATGGTATGGTTGAAACATGCTTTTATCTTACAGAGTTTGATGTTTTTAAGATTCCTGTTGCAAAAATCAATGTGAAATATATTTTGTAATATACCAGTTTATATTCCTTTTTATTAAAATTGCAATGAAAGGAAAAGTAATATGTGTGGTTTAATTATTCAGCCAAAAAATGTGTTCCATCATTTTTGCATGTAGGAAAGAGTGATACACAACTTTGCAGCTGTCGGGTTTTTTCTGGAACCTTAATCTCTTAATAATGTGAACATGTGAGTGGAACATTAAGCAAAACATGATTTGAGCTGCATGATAGTGCATGGGAAAATGAGATGAATTATAGAAATTTTCCATAAGCACTGGAAAAATCACACAAGAAAAATAAGGGAGGGGCTGGGAAGGTGGCTCAGTGGTAGAGCGCTTGCCTTGCATGCATGAGGCCCTGGGTTTGATTCCTCAGCACCACATAAGCAAAAAGAAAAAAGCCAGAAGTGGCGCTGTGGCTCAAGTGGTAGAGCGTTAGCCTTGATCTGAAGAGCTGAAAGACAGTGCCCAGGCTCAGAGTTCAGGCCCCATGACTTGACCAAAAAAAAAAAAACAACTGAGTATATATAGCTCACTGGTAGTGTGTACTTAGCATTCATGAGACCCCAGATTTAGTCTCCAGAACCAAATAATAAAAAAGTTGTTGAGTATGCTAAATTAATCTCTTGAAATTTTACATGTATACTCAATTCCCTGCAGTACAAACAGTTGAGGTAGTGATGAAGAAATTTTTATTAATTTGAAGCATCACAGTCTGTCCAAATGAGAAAAGGAGTTTTACTGAGGATTAACTTCAGGCTCAGTAGGCAAGTGCTCTACTAGACCCTGAGCCACGTCAGCTTATACTTCATTATGTACCATTACTGGATGTCTCAAATTTGTCCATATTTTGAATCAAGCCAGCATTGGTCATCAGCAGTTGTATACATGCATACATTTTCCACAGCACATCCTATTTGGATATTACTAAAATTGACGTCTTTCTAAATACATTTAACCTTATATGCATAGAATAAGAAGCCTAGCTAAAGCTAAAGTATTCCTGTCCCACTGATCACTCTGAAATAATCATAGACCTTTTTTGTTTTTCTGCTGGTACTGTGGCTTGAACTCAGGGCCTGTGTTTGCTCAGCTTGCTTGCTCACCTGGCACTCATCCTTTGAGCCACACCTCCAGCCCAGCATTTGCTGGTTACTTTGGAGATAGAGTCTAGCAAATTTCCGTTGGGCTGGCCTCAGACTGTGAACCTCCTCTGTATCTCAGCTTCCTACGTGGCTGAAATTACACATGTGAACCACTTGAGTAAAGCACTTTATTCAGATTTTTAAATGGGCATCTGGGCAGGTTCCAGTGGCTCACACCTATAATCTTAGCTACTCAGGAGGCCGAGATCTGAGGGTTGTGATTCTAAGCCAGCCTGGGCAGAAAAGTCCCCATGAGACTCTTTTCTCCAATTAATCACTCAAAAACCAGAAGTGGTGTTATTACTCAAAGTAGTAGAGCACCAGCCTTGAGCAAAAGAGCTCAAGGACAGCACCTAGGCCCTGAGTTCAAGCCCCAGGGCGGACAATAAATAAATCCTGTCTGATACCATTCTAGTTTTGCCATGTCATGTCAATATGAACTATTTTGGAGGGCAGGCAATTTGGAGATTTCTGGAGATGGAAGCCAGGTCTCCATGCATGCTAGGCAGAAGCTCTACCACTGAGCTGTATATTACATAAAGGTATTAACATATTTAAACAGCAGTTATTGAAGGGGGAAAAAGTAACTGGGTATAGTGGTATGCGTCTGTGATCCTAGCATTTGGGACTGAGGCAGGATTGTAAATATATATCATCAGTTTTTTAACATAAAATTGTTTTGCAAAGGAAATTTGGATATTACTATTAAAAGTCTTAGTATTGCTTTAATGTTTGTATAATGTGAGAAATGTCCAGTCCTTCACTTTGGGAATCTAGGATAGGCAATGGGTGAAAGACACACTGTCCATCTTAGGAGTTGTGTAGTATGAACTTCTGACTGGTATGTTATCAGAGTTGGAGACATCTAAGCTAAGTAGAATTTTCAGGTTACCAAACTAGGACAAGACATTCCTGGAAAAGAAAGCAGCCTCTAGAATGTACAAAGGAAACCCCAGAGTATTTAGGTATCTGAATGCTAATCTCATGTAGGAATTGCTGAAGTAATGGCTGGAGAGAGAGTGGGTTTCCTATGCTGGACTGAGGCTAGTTGTTAAGCCCAGGGCTTGGTGAAGCCCACGGGCCCCTTGTCAGAAAAAAATGCTATAAAAAACAGAATAAAAGTTTAAGGTTACAAAACAATACCAACATACTAAGATATTTTAGTAAATAGTTATTAAAAGAGCAAATGTGGCATAGTAAATATTTTTATTAACATTTTAAGCAACAAAAATTACTGGGGTGTCCACTAGCTATTAAAATTTCAGAATAGTATACAAGTAAATGGTATTTTAAGGAAATTACAGCTGGTACTAGTGGTTCATCCTGTAATCTAGCTACTGAGGAGTCTGAGATCTGAGATTCACAGTTTGAAGCTAGCCTAGGCAGAAAAGTCTAAGAAATTTTTGTCTCCAATTAACCAACCTAAAAAAACAATGGATCAAGTTGTAGAGTGATAGCTGATGAAGAACACAAGGCCTTGAGTTAAAACCCCATTATTGGCACCCAAAAAAAGACAAGGAAAATTAAAACAGCTAACATATTACATAAAGATTGTAAATATAATATCATCAGTATTATTTAGTTGCAAAGCACATGTGCTGTTAGAAGTTTGTTTTCTGTTCAGTGATTTCTGTATTCCCAGATGGCCTAAGTTCTATCCAGGAGCCTACAAACTTCAGATGAGCTTTTAAGTCATCTAATGCAAATGAATTGGGTCAGTTCAGAAGCTAGAGGCAAAGAGAGGCACTGCTCACAGTCTGACTAAGGGGAGGGCTGGTGTGAGAGAGGCAAAGGAGGCAGAGCTCCTAAGAGGGGGCAAGTTAACATCACTCCCTGCAGGATCCTTGACTCCTTTCCGGCCCACTTCTTGGGGCCTTGTGAAACAAGGTAATTTCAGCAAGAGAAAGAGTTAGTGCTCCAGTGGTGAGTGGGGAATGCATTCCCTATGTAAGTGAAGTACCAGTGGAGATTCTCAGGAATAGTACACATGAGAATCAACTAGATTAGCATTTCCCAATAGAATATACTGTGCAAACTACTAATGTAACAACTTTCTGAAAACTTTAGAAATTAATTTTAGTAAAATACTGAACTATCCAAAATACCATTTTAACATGTAATCTATATAAACAATTGTTAATAAGATTTTGTTTTTTGAGATAGGATCTTATTGTACATAGTAAGCCCAGGCTTACCTGGAATTCATGATCAATCCTACCTCAGTCCCAAATGCTAGGATCACAGACCTTTACCACTATACCCAGCTATGTTTTTTCTTCTTCAATAACTGCTGTGTTTTAAAATTACAGTTTGTACTACATTTTGAGGTTTTAGTCTCCACATGTGGCCAGAACTAATAGCTCCCCATTCAATGGTTACATCTAGATATCTAGAGAGGGGAAAAAAAAAAAGAATACTATTTTGTACTTCATTTGCTACATACAGTTAAATATAAAGTGATAAGGACAGCAGAATTCATTCGCAGGTAATAGGGAACCACACACAGGACCATAATGGAGAAAGTAAACTTACTAGATTTGCATTCTATAAAGAGAATAAAATACTTAAAGTTTTCCTTCCACCTAGGGAGATGGAGATCAATCTTTGAGAGTATTTCAGGTGGAGTTTAGGAAGTCCTATGTCAAAGTTCAGTTAATTCCAGTTTGACTGTCTTGATTGAAGTAAACTCAGAATTGTTTAATTATGAATACTTCTAGCCTAGATGATTGAGACAAATATAACTGATATATGAAATAGTGTGTATGCTAACGGTTTGGCTAAATAGTTCCTGAACCTAGAATGATTTTTATTGTATTTCTTTTGTCTGTGCCAATCTTGGGACTTTAACCCAGGATCTGGGTACTGTTCCTGACCTTGTATGCTGAAGGCT